CTAAGGTTATTATGAAGACCAAACATGATAGTACAACAGTGCTATTCGGATGTGAGTTAGCATGAAGCCAGAGCATCTAATGGATTCTTGTCTTATCTTGCCAAGAGTGGTGTCATCTCTTTGAAAGTGGACAAAGTATTAGAAAGAATGCAATTCTGTGTTTTGTAATGACTAATAAAGATGCCTTGGTGATAGAGTTTTAAGGAATTTTGGGAAAAGGTGACCATATTAGAGTTTATAATATGAAAGCAAGGTAGTACTGGGTATCATTTTTTAAAGGTAGATTTTAAGAAGCTTAGAAAAAAGTAGATATTTTAGATGGGACTGTCACTCATGAGGACAGTAGTTAATAAAAAAAGAAATTCTGATTATTATGAATCATTTAAATAGCAGAGACATATATATATGGACAAGGTGATTTATCTTAAAAAACAGTGTATTTATATAGACAGTTCTCTGAGCATAAAGTATATAGAAAAATACAAAATGTCAAGGGAGGGGCATGTAACTAAAAAAAAATTCAAGAGTAACATTTATTTAAAATGGAGTTGGTGACTTTCCAGTAACATAATTGGCTTTAATACACTATGCATTTAACAGGACGTATTACAAAGATAGCAGAATGGCTACCAGCTACTCTCTCAGTCTCTGACAGAAAGACACTTCATATGAAGGGTTAGGCATGGTAGTGTCGGGGAGGCTAAAACTGAGAATTAGCTGAAGTTTATGAAAAGCTTAAGCCAAAAAACCAAAACAAAACAGGTTGAAGACAAGAGAAAAAGTGTTGTTGTTTTTTTTCTAATTGAAGTTCCTTATAGAAGATAGAGGAGATAAGGCCATTGATTAGGGAAGATGAAAAAGCTTCCTTAAAACAATTCTTTACTGGAAATATATTAGTAGAGACTGACTGAACATTCATCACGGATAATTTTATAAGGTAAAAGATTGGGCTTTAAGTGGTTTTATTTCTAGCACTAACAGTTTGACATGTTTAGTGTAGCTGCCATGCTTGCGTGGGCGTCTACAGGTGTTGGCGTCTACACGTGCTGCAGCTGTCCTGATCCGAGTTCAAGCCTCACTTTGTGTTGCTCTAATTAGGACTTGCCAGCCGTATTTTGGAGATTTGTAGCAATATTGAGTGCTGAGAACTGGGATATAAGGAAAAATTGATGAGAAAAACTACAAGAGTACCAGCCTTTATTCTCCAACCATCCTTACTTATTTATAGTAGGATGAATGAATCAAACGATGATCTTGGGTATAGTTCTTTGGATATCTGTTCTCAGTGTGGGATCTACCAATTAGAATGCTAATTGGGTGCTAAAAATAATTCATAGTAAATCTGTTTTCTGGTTTTATTTTAAGATTTAGCTTTTTAAAGCTTTCTCCATCCATTCTTGTACGGAGTACTCATTCTGTGAATTTATATAGAAGTAGCATTTCTGGCCAAGTAGAAAAATGACTAGTTGGTTCATTTTCCTAGAAAACTACCAGATGCTTTCCTAGAGATAAAACATAATCAAGTTTATTTAAAATTGAGTTGGTGACTTTCCTGGGTAAAATTGACTTTAAAATATGCATTTACACAGAACATTTTAATATTTCAAAGTTAGAACAATGGCTAATAGCTTCTCTTGCCTCTCTGAATGAAGAAGAATTCATATGAAGTTTTAGATATCAGTTCAATTAATTTATAAGCAACTTCCACTGAGGAAAGATATCATTATACTGTTTTTTTTTTGACACTGCTCCTGTAAAATACCTTTGGGAATTATAAAGGTAGTATAGTCCATGTTAGACTAGTAATAATAATTACTTTTAATTCTGTATGTGGGAGTGGTATAGAGAGCATGTATCAATCTATTTAGGAGGATATCATTTTTGGCTTAATTATTAGAGACCAGTTGTGGCAGCAAAAAATGAAAACAGTCATGCATCCTGAACTGAAGGTAAAATAACACTGGACATAGTTTCTAAAAGTCACTTCACATGATTTTTGAGAAGTCTGGTCTTAAACATAGTTGGTTTCTGATAATCTTCCCTTATAATTGACTTTATATGCTTTTGCAACCAAATTGTGCTAGGATGGCTCACAACCTATTTGAGTAGGAAGAGCATCAAAGCGAAAAGGCCACAATGATTAGCACATCAGAGCTAAGAGTATCCCATATAAGAAGGCTGGAGAAGGTGGTTGATGCCAATTTTGACATTAGAGATGGGGTTGGAGGTATAAATTTGGCAGCCATTATATGCAGTAAACATCTCAGCGCTTCTCGAATTATTTTTGTGAATAAATATTTTCTTCAAGAACAGTTTTAGATTTACAGAAGAATTGCAAAGATAGTACAGAGAGCCCCCATATGCCCCACACCTGATTTCACCTATCTTTAATATCTTACATTAGTATGGTACATTTGTTGCAATTAATGGACCACTGTTGATACAATTTTATTAATTAAAATCCATATTTTATTCAGATTTCTTTAGTTTTTAGCCTCCTGGCCTTTTTCTATCATTGGATCATATCCAGAATACGGCATTACATTTCACTGTCATGTCTCTTTAGGTTCTTCTTAGATGTGACAGTTTCTCAGACTTTCCCTATTTTTGATGATCTTGACAGTTTTGAAGAGCAGTGGTCAAGTATTTTGTAGGATGTCTCTTAATTGCGATTTATCTGTTGTTTTTCCTCATGAGGTTATGTGTTTTTGGGAGAAGGACCACAGAGGGAAATTACCATTTTTTCACATCTGTCAAAGGTACATGCTGTCAGTGACTTATCATGGCTGATGTTGCCCATCATCATCTGACTGACATAATGTTTGTCAGGTTTCTCCCTTTCTACACTGTATCCTTTCGAAGGAAGTCACTGTGCTCAACACACTTAAGGAAGTGGGGGCAGTGTTCCACCCGAGAGTGCATTATCTATGTAAATTATTTGGAATTCATCTGCGTGTGTGGTTTTTCTATTCTTCTCTATTTATTTGTTCATATCAGTATAAATTCATGAACATTTATTTTATGCAGCGTTGTAGTATTCTGCAAAGAACTGGAGCCCACTCCACTAAGTGAGGTATCCCAAGGATGGAATAACAAGCACCACATGTACTCACCAGCAAATTGGTATTAACTGATGAAATACTTAAGTGCATATATAGTGGTAACATTCATCCGGTGTCTGGCAGGTGGGGGGAGGAGGGGAAGGGCATAGTCACACCCAGTGGGTGTGGTTCCACCGTCTAGGGGATGGACGCGCTTGAAGCTCTGACCTTGGTGGGGCAAAGGTAATATATGTAACTTAATCATTTGTACCCCCATAATATGCTGAAATAAAAAAAAGAAAGAAGTCGGCAGTGCAGCAAGTCTTTTCAAAGGGCTGGCTTCTCTGTATCCCCTAGGGAAGAAAGCCCAGTGGCGGTTAACATGGGAGGGGGGAAAACGAGATGTGTCTGACTTCCCATCCAGTTTTTAAAGTTTCTCTGGGGTCCCCTTGGCCAAGAGGCGTTTGTTCAGTCAGTTGGGGGGAGCTTAGAATTTTATTTTCATTTCTCAAATTCAGTGCTACTTATTTTGTTGCTCATACTGTTCCCTTGGGAGCTGTGTCTTTCAGTTGGCTCCTGTGTGTCTTTGGTAAACTCCCGTCATTTTGTGTGTGTGTATGTGTTTTGAGCACTTCCTAACTTTCTGTCACTACCGGATGCTCTAGGATCATCTTTTATATTTCCTTTCCTAGTTCTAGAATCAGCTATTTTTCCAAGGAGCCCTGGTTCCTGTTTTTGGAAATGATATTAGAAACCAAGATCTGGGGACTAGGTGTACTCATAGCTACTGGGATGTAATTGCTTCTAGGCTCTCTCAGCTGACAGAGCAAGGAGATATATATGTGTATACTAACCCGTGTGTATTATTTCTGTATGGAATCATTTCTGTGTTAAGCTAAACATGAGTTTATACTCATATGTCCAAATCTAATCCGTTACCACGTGGATAATTCTAGCCTCCTCTTGTTTACCTGTAACTTCCAATGCTAACATTGAGAAACTTGGCCCTCATCCATCCACTTAATTGTTCACTCCTGCTGTATACATGTGTGACAGTATCAGCATTGTTAACTGGTACCCCCAGGGGAAGCAGCTTTACCAAGTGGAGTACAGTGGTTAAGTGCAGTTCCTCTTGCTCTTATTCTTGTAGGCTCCACTCATTTCCAAAGTTGCTTAGGCCAGCACTTCACTCCCTTGCATGTGGGTTCTAGGTCGCTTTCCAGACTTTATGGGACCTATGCTGCTCGGCCCGTGGTCTAGAGAGTCCTCTGCATTCTTTTGCAGCTGGTGCGCCAAGTTCTGATTGGCAGAGTCATAGGGTATTCCCTCCTCCCCCAGGTATGGAGAGAATTAGGGTGGAACAATTATACCAAGGCAAACTTTCGTCCCCAGGAGTCCTGGAATCTCTCACTAGCTACCTAACAGTAATATGGGTTTTAATACTACATGGTATCATATATTCACCATTACAGTAACATATAACCCAAACTTTTAAAAATGATTTAATATTTGATAATTTTGACCAAAAAATCCAGCAATTTGGGGTGATTCAATCTAATATAATTGAAATATAAGCCAATGTATTATTTGCATGCAGGTATGTGAAATAGCTAAAACTTTTGATTAAGTATTAAATTATCATAAAGATATCTCATAATCTTAACTATATGGTTATATTTTACATGCTTAGTAAACACTATGACAAAACCCCTGCAATTGTTCTGATAAAATAGTCACATTAAATAGTTATATTCCTTAATCCTCTCTTATTTATTGATTGATGGATTTAATCTTATTTTTTTTAGAGACAGAGTCTTACTATATCACCCAGGCTGGAATGCAATGGCACCATCATAGTTTACTGTAATCTTGAATTTCTGGCCTCAAGCCATCTTCCTGCCTTGGCTTCTCAAAGTGCTAGGATTACAGGCACGAGCCACCACGCCCAGCTCAAATTATTTATATTTTCAAAGAATATTGAATAGGATATATTAATTCAAATATATCCTACCCAGTATTAGAATTTTAGGCAGTGTTAACAATGAGTTAAAACCTTGTAGGCAGTGTGGGAAAATTTTGCTTTTTAGGGCAAAAATTTGCTCCCTCGATTGTATCTTAATATATTGCTGCTTCTCTCATTTCATCTTTGAAACTTTTTAAAGTCTTAGATCTTCTAGACCATCTTAAAGTGATTCCCCAACCACATTGTCTACATGGAATAGGGTTACATTTCTTCATTTAACAAATACTTTTTGAGCATCTTCTGCATGAGTGACATTTTGTTAGGGGCAGAATTCCAAACTAGCTCAGCTACCTTCTGGGCGGCAAAAGTGCTCTTGGAATCAGTGGCTCCCAGACTGCTGAATTTCATGGATCAGTTTTTAAAGAATAGCAATGAATGAAGAGTTGCCACCTTTTTATTTTGCCAAATCAAGACATTAAAAATGAACAACCAAGCAAAGTTTTCATTAGGTAGGATTTGTTTTGCTTCTTCTAAATGTCTAATTTAAAATTTATACTATGTACTTTTCTCTAATTAGAATATTTTACATATTTTTTCCCTGATCCATTTTTATTTGAAGTAGATTATTCTTAAACACTTTAGCTATTATCCTACTCCGTAAATGTCAAGGATAGACCTTTAATGAGTAGAACAGATGTCAGGGATTTGACAGTAGTGAATAATCATGTCTATCTCTTGTCAATCTTTTGATTTTAAGTGAGGGAAATGCTGTGGAGAATTGCTTCTTTGGTTGAAAATCTAGATTAATACATGCTATGCCATAGCGAATGCTTAATGAATACCTGCTAAATAAATAAAAAACAATCTTCCCAATTATCTCCTTCATTAATGGGAAGATATAGAATCTAGTACATTGATAACACTGAACTTTCTGAAATAATTCTGTAACAAGTTCTCCTTTTTGTTTCTTTCCTTGGTTTGTCTCTCTGCCTGATTTTTTAATACTGTCTGTGCTAATATTGGCTTGTGAAGTCAATTAGACCAATTAGAAAAATACAGTTAAGCATTTAAATTACTTTTGACTGAGTAGCTTTTGTTGATAAATGCTAGAGTACTAATCAAGTTTCTAGGTTTGAAGTTCATCTTTTACTTGTATTTATGAAGAACCTTTTCTTCTAAGGTTGTTGTTATTGTCTATAACATTTTCAGGATTTATGTAGGAGAGAGATATCCTATCTAGGATATGTATAGGTTAAATTATGAGGCTATGGCATGTAGGCCATACCTTAGAATTATGTTGAATCTGGTAAGAACTTCATTTACTGTTAATCTGGCATTTTCTACATTTTATAGATGAAAATAATAAAAATGTAATCTTTGCCCTAATTGGCCATAACCTTTGCTTTCTGACTTTGTATTAGACTTTTTCTTAGTAAGAAATCTGTTTTAAAATCAGTGCATTTCTTATTATCATTTTCATTTTGAAGCTAGTTTCACAAGTAAGCATTTTATTGAGCATCCCAAAATGTCACTTTGCTGAGCTAGTTATTCTACAAATCTTGTATCATCTCCTGCAAGACCAATTAAGACTTATATAAAAAATTTTATTTTAAGTCTTCAGGATACAAATAAAAATTGACATATTTATGAAGATTTAGAGGTTTACAAAATTTAATCAAGAGATGCCATTTCATTTTTTAAAACCTGTTTTTCCTTCTTATTAAAGAGATACTTGTTCATTAAAGAATATTTAGAAAACATGGATACAACTGTAAGGAAATAAAAATCACCTGCAATCTAGTTACCTGGAAATTAATGACTTTTAACATTTTGGCATAGATTTATCTTATAGTATACTGTTATGTTATATGATTTAGAAGTGTGTGTTTGTATATATAGAGAGAGAAAGAAAGAGAAATCATACTGTACATTTGGATTTGTTAACTTGCTTGAGAGTGAATTTTTTTTATATTAACTATTCTGTTAACTCATCCTAAGTAATCATTGGGTGATAGTCCCCTCTTTTTCGATGTTCATATTATTTCCAATAATTTTATTTTTACTGTTGTGGTTTCAGTGGGAGGTTATGTGTTTGACTTTTAGGAGGAAGGGGTAACGAGTGGTTTGGAGCTAGCGGGAGTTTGCATGGCAGCGGTGCCCTCCGTGTTGAGAAGCACAGCTCTGGCTGCCCGTCTCACGCTCCTCGAGCCGGGCTGGGGGCAGGCTGAGGCCTGTGTGTTGTGAGCCCGGCTGAGAGAGCAGTGGCCTCAGTAGCGTCAGCAGGAACAGAGCGGGCTTCATCTCTGCCCTTTGTCTCGGTTTGGTGCTGGTGTGTTTTCCCCGCTGCTGCCATGTGATGGCTCATAAGCAGTGCTACACACAGATCTGTGACTGCTTTTGAAAGCTCTATTGTGAGATGCTTCTGCGTTTTGGTGGAGGGGAGGTTTTTGCTAGCGTGTTGCTTTTCGTTTTTTTTTTTTCAAATATGAACATGCCTTCCTCTAAAGAATCCAAAGCACTAGATTTGAGGCAACTAAAAATGAATTAAATTATCCTTTCCTCCAAACCTCCTATAAAAGAACAGTATTAGAATAGAAAAGTAAGTACTCAAATTTCCTTGTCTACTTTGAATTATTGTTAATCATCATAGGAGAGATGGGAAATGAGAGTGGAGATGGGAATCAGGGATGGTTTCTAAATGAAATAATATTTGAATGAGGTGATAAAGAATGGTAACAGATGGCAGGAAGCACAGAAATGTGGACAATGGAAGTGACTCAGAGTTTGTTTGTTTATTCATCCATAAAATATTCACTGAAGGCCTATAATGTACCAGGAATTATACCACACTTTGGATACCTAGGAATGAATTAGGCATGGTTCCTGCTTTCTGGGAGCTGACAGTCTGGTTAGGAAGATGGAAAATAGACAAAACATATATAGTGGGCTCAGAGTAGGAGTATCATAGTCTAGCCTAGGCAGGTTAAGAAAAGTGTTTTTGGAGGGGCTGACACCTGAGCTGAGTCTTGAAGGACAAGGGGGTAAGGGGAGAGGTATTTAGGTAGAGAAAACTGCATGTGCAAAGGCAAGGACGCAAGAAAGAAGATGGGATACACAGGCATCACAAAGAGTTCAGTGTACAGCAAAAGAAGAGAATGCACAGTGGGGGAGGATTGCCAATAAATAATTTATGAGGACTCGAGTTTTTAGACACTAAGGGAGAGGGAGAAAATCAGGGATGACTCCCAGACTTTTCCTTGGTTAATTAAGTGGTTGGTAGTGCCATTCACAAGTATAGGAAATAAACAAGGGAGGGCAGATTCAAAGAGGACAATAGTGTATTCAGTTTAGGATATGAGTTTAGGGTGATTGTGGTATATTGATATAACAAATAGAGGTCTGGAGCTCATAAGGGAGATTGGAGCTGCAGGTTCATGAATGGGGACCATTAGCAGGGGTTGGATGAAATCACTGATGGGAGGATCATGGAAACATGTAGAGTGACAAGATGGCAAAGAAAACCTCCAGAAGGAATGGACAATTGAAGGCACTGAGAAGGAGGAAAGCACGGTCGAAGACAAAGCATGAAAGGAGAGGAGGGAGAGAGGAGGAGGGAGGAGGGGAGGGGGGGAGGAGAGGGGAGGAGGGGTCAGCGATAACAAGTTTAGCTGAAAGAAGAAGATAAATTCTTGGTGTCCCATCACTTTAGGAAACAAGAAAGTCATTAGTGATCTTGGTGAGGGCAGCTTCCAGGGTGAAGTAGGGGCTGACCTGAATTTCTTCAGTCAAGGCATGCATTAGAGGTCAGGGAGGCATGGTTTAAAAATCTCCTTCAAGAAGCTTGGCTCTGGAGGTGATAGCAGATGGGGCAGTGTGTGAATCAGGATGGAGAGAGATGGAGGTATTCGTTTGCTTTTTTTCCCCCTCAAGGTTGGAAAGCTGAAACATTTTTATACTGAAGTTGATAATATACGCCTATTGTCAATGCTTTGAAATGTATAGAGTTCAGTGCCTGGGGAAGACAGCATTACTGTAGTCATGCCTCACCTGGTCAGAATTGAGAAATCCCAAAACTTCACTGTTCTCCGTAATTTCGACAGTAAAATCATCATGTATTAGGCCATGGAAAGCATTTTCACATTCTTGATTTTTCCATATAACCCTGAAAGAAGACGGTGCTGAGAGACAAGAGATGAATGAAACAGGCCCTGAGCAGCTGCAGTGATGTAGCAAATTTCCTCTGGATTACCCATGGGTGAACAACTCGGGTCCTTGTCCAGAGCCACTCACTTCTACATAAATCTCCCTGACTGTATTGTCTGACATCTACACCCTTACAGAGGAGGAGGTGCAGACCAGGAGCAAGGAGGAGAGGCGTGGGTAAGGGCAGCCACACTGATGCCAGGGAGAAGTGGTACCCAGTATAGTGATGGCAAAGGAGAAGACAGACACATTGGAAAATGCTTGCAAAGGGAATAATAATAATAATAAAAGCTTGCAATTTATGCAGGCTTACCAGATCACTCTTTAATATCTACTGAAGGCATCCCTGTAACATGGTACAATAATTGGTGTTTCAAATGAATACTCCATCAAGAAATGTTAAATGCTAGGTATACTGTGATTTAAGAATGCAAATAAGAAAATGCTAATGACATTTATAATTTAACATTAAAATAAAGTTTTGGCAATTAAAGTGCTAGCTGGGGCCTTTCCCAAAGGGTCTCATTCTGTTGTCATTTTTTGTTGGGTGTCCAAGAGTTAGTGCTTCTTACATATATTGCTGAGAGGTAGAGCTGTGTAGAAGGTATAGAAAACTTGGTTATAGATGAAATGAATGCCAAGGAAGCTTTATATATCAGTTCAAGTTGACATTTCCATAGCACATTTTTCAAAATAATAATTTTAGGGCTGTATTGTTCTATGGGATCAAAAAAAGGTAAATAAATATTTAGGATTTTTCAAAAATAAAGAACCCTCAGACTATATATATCTCAGACCCTGGAAAACACATTAACTTTATTAGATTTGGAGTAGCAAATATTATTTTTTTTTATTCTAAACTATAGTGTTCTTTTTTAGATATCATTAATTGAAATAGCAACATATGGTATAATAGAAATTATTAAAAATCATGTATAAAAGTTCCATTAGATTTCTCTAACCAGGTAAAAGAAATAAATATTTTAATTGTTCTTTGAGAATAGTCAGTGAACAAAATCAGACTTCTGTAAAATGAAAGTAAAAATGTTCATGATTGAATTGTGTGGCCCTGTTGACTTTCAGGAAGGATAAGCCTTGAAACCTTCTAAGATCTAAAATTTCTGATGTGGAAGAGGTTTTTGTCTTTTATAAGCAATAGTCTACAATCTGGACAATGGCTTAAAATCAAAGTAGTGACCTGGAGTGTTGTTGACTTGATAGAAATGTGTTCAGGGGTGATAATCTTTGCTATAAAGGAGAGAGGATTTTTTTTTTTATTGATCAAAGGCTTAAATCTTTATTATTT